GTCAAAAGTCAAGCAAAAATTGGACTGATATTGGGCACTATTTCAAGCACAATTTTTTGAGACGTAAATTGTACCTATAGCTCGTTCGATATTCGCGCACTGAGGTGAGTATGCTGGGCGTAGAACCTACGCCCAGCATACTCACTGAACGAAGCCTATAACTCCGAAGTTATTCGAGCACTGTTTTTTCTTTTTGGGCACCGTTTGGCACTATTTGGGAACTATTTTTTGAAGTATGAATTATGTTTGAAGCGTATACAGATTCTCCGGACGGAGGTGAGTATGCTGGGCGAAACCTTCGTCCAGCATACTCATCGAACTATGGCTATAACTTCGCAAGTACAAGAGCACTATTTTTTTCCTTTGGGCACTATTTAGCACTATTTCAGAACAGTTTTTTGACATTCATGAAATATCAGGATTCCATGGTGAGTATGCTGGACGAAGGGACACGATAAACTTGGCAAAAATTTGCTGACTGCGCATCGTAGTAGCCGATTCATTGTTATTATCACGTTTTGATATGACGTCTAATTCAAACAACGAATAGAAAATCATTTCCTATCTAAATAATTTCGACTTCGGAGCTAATTACACAATCAAGGTATTTTACTTCAGCCACGAGAATTGTTATTACGACCCCTTATCACCTTGTTCTAGATAAACACAAAAATATTTTTGTGTTTGAGTTTATCTAATGATAATCATTCAACTGCTGAACTGCTTTTTCAGTTTATCAATCATTTGTTAGCCTCTGCTCGGGAAAGGTGAGTTTTTATTTCTTTATTTTTATTGAATAAACTTTAAGTAGGTACGTAATTCTGAATTGAAAGTTAATACTTTAAATTTGAGATTTTGAAACATTGATTTACTCGCTGTACCTACTTATTGTCTTGAAGGTAAGTACTGTTGCTTTCTCCAAAATCACGCACTTACATTTTCCTTAAATAGCGGTAGGAAACCGAATCTTTACATGAAAGTTGAACCTGTTTGGAAGAAGGCGTTGGTATCGGTGGCTTTTTTGAGTAACTTTACATCAAACCTCCTACTTAAGTAGGTACTCACCTACTAAATTGAGACTTAAAATAAAGACTCATTTTTTTTATAATAAGTCTGTAAACGAGCTGGTGGATTACCTGATGGTAAGCAATTTGTGCTGCCCATGGACACCCGAAGCACTAGAGGGCATTACATGCCATCTGGGGATTAGAAATTTGAGTATTGTTGGAGATTCAGGGATTGGGGAGGGGGGTAATTGGGCCTCTTAGGTTACCTTATTCACACGACGAAACACAATGCAAGGGTTGTTTCACGTTGGTTTTCTTTGAGGCCCTATCACTCCGGCCGAGCCGGCCCATTCGTGCCGAAGCTTGGCTCGCCTACACAATGCCAAGAATGTTATTCCATGTTTATTATTTTCGACAAACAAAATTAAACCATCTCCTCATTAACTCTAAATTACAATAGCCATTAAGAAAAATTTGCTTATCAGAAAGTGTTCGGATTCAAATTAGCGAGTTTTATCTAATAAATACAATGTTAGAAAACAGTCTAACCGCCATCCAAGCAAATTATCTACCTACCATTATTGCAGATGACTCTACGCTGGGGAATTGTAACAGCTGGCAAGATCAGCAATGACTTCGTCAATGCGTTTAACTCGTATCCTGAGAAGGGCGACCAGGAGATAGTCGCAGTGGCAGCCAGGAACAAGGACAGGGCTGAGGAGTTCGCGAAACTTCACAGTATTGCTAAAGTGTTTGATTCATACCAGGCATTAGCTAACAGCAGCGATATAGGTGAGGAAGTGATTGGCGGTTTCATATAAAATAAACGCTTGTCATTTATCAACGTGATTTTTTATCTGGAGTTAACGCCATGACAAGCGACTACAGAACTTGATAAACTTGTCCCAATTCGTTGTAATTAAGTGATTAAACAATCAATTAATTTGAATTATTCTAGATGTTGTCTACATCGGCGCTTTGAATAATGACCATTATGGACTCTGCAAGATGTTCCTTGAAAATGGAAAACATGTTCTTTGTGAGAAACCTTTCTGTCTGAATGCGAAACAAACTCAGAGCGTGATAAACCTCGCGCGCAAGAAGAATTTGTTCATCATGGAAGCTGTTTGGACTCGTTTCTCACCGGCTTACATTGATGTTGAGAAAGAGATTGAGGCTGGTGCTCTCGGAGAAATTAGATTCATCGAGGGTAATTTCGGAATTTACTGCGAAAGTGATAGAGTTTTGTAAGTATTTGTAATAATGTCCTTCAATTCAAAAGTTGTCTTAGGTACTTCGAGGAATTTTCACTACCTATCATTACTTATTTTCAGGAAAAAGGAATATGGCGGTAGTACTGTGCTTGATATCGGTATTTACTTATTGCAACTATCTCAATATGTTTTCAAAGAAGAACCAAAGAATGTAACAGCTGTTGGTAAACTCAATGACGAGGGGGTGGATGAAAGCGAGACTATCATTTTGGATTATGGAAATGGCAGGCGAGCTGTGCTCAATACTCAGTCCGGTTTAGTTCTCAAGAACAACGCTACGATTTATGGAACGAAGGGTCGTATTACGGTAAGAAATCTGAAATTGATATCTTGTATAAAAAATTTAAAATACAGATTCTAATTCAGCAAAGTTCGTAGGTGCACTTCTACGATATAAAGTCATAAATGTAATTAACAAGTATTATTGTCTTACATAGATCGAGGATCCGTTCCACTTTCCTGATAAAGTAACACACGTTGATGGTTCACTGAGAACGTACCCGTTACACACTTCTAAGTTGCCGTACGTCTATGGAAACAGCGCTGGTCTCGTCTATCAGGCTCTTGAAGTCGCCAGGTGCATTCGAGCTGGTATGTTTTCACTTACTATTCGCACCACAACTTGTAACCGACAAAACTTGAAAATGTTTTAGGACTTAGATTATTATACATTAAAATACAAATTGTGTCTTTTGCAGGATTGATCGAGTCACCCCGAATGTCGCACAAGGAGACTGTTGTACTAGCCAAATTAATGGACACTGTTAGAAGCCAGCTGGGTGTTCACTATGATGCTGATGATGAAGAATATCCTTGAATGCTATCCGAGAAACAACTAAGACACACTTGTAATCGTCCGTCTATAAACCGTGGTGCTCGTATGATTCCTTACTAGTTAAAGATATATATGTCCCTATTTGATACTATGTTATGCAGTGTTAAATGTTTATTTAATAGATTTTAAGTTTAATTAAATGTTTTAATGAAGATCAATGATGATTTTAATTACGGTTGTTACGGTTAACTGACAATACACATTGTAACCTAATTGGAGAGATACCATATTGAAAGACTGAATATGAACTAGGCTAGGAGGCGATCTTTACGATGGAACACGAAGATAGTATGTAGGTACGTAATTATGATTACTCTGTGAATGTTTCTACTGAATTGAAGTTATTGTAAGTTATGTACTAACATGATGGTGTACGTATTGTAATTAATATATACTGTTATTGGGTTCACAAAAAGTAATTTAATCTGATGTTGGTTGGAGACGACGCAGTTGCGAAATTAACAGCGCATAAGCGCGGAGGTCAAATTCTACATGAGTAATTTATTTCAACTACGGTGAACTTCGTCACCGTAGTTGAAATTGTACCGCTTTAGAATTAATAAGTCGTTCCAAGGTACCTATATAGGAAAATTAGTTTTGTTTCTACTTACTTTCTGAAGAGATAGATCACCGTAGATAGATCTCTGAAGATGGAGAAATCATCCAGTGACTTCTACCACCTCTCAATTATCGCAATTCGTAAAAAATGTTGGTCCCGAAAATATGCATAAACCAGTTGATGAAGATTTATGACTGGGTATGGTCTCATTTCTGCAATTATTCCTGATTTCATACAAACCATTTAGACTCGGGATAGTGACTTTCTAAGACATTGGGCAAATCATGAATGACATAATTCCGTGAAAAATGATAAAATATGAATAGTCATGGCAAAGATCGAGTTATCAGCGTTAAAAAACGATAAGGCGACCTTGCTCTCAAGCGATTAGAGTATAGGTACCTATAGTCACGTACATGTGGTGGCTATCGATGTAATATCTGCTAAACTAAGCGGGGGTGACTGACATCACCATCAATTTATCAGTTGCGTCGTCTATAGGTCACATTTGTTATTATTAGCAAAAAAATATAGAGACGACATTTTCCTAGAGTTTTTTTATTTATTTTAGTTCTGTTCATCGATGTTCTACGATTAAAAAATCGTAACGTAATTAGTAGATAATAAGGTAGCTATTCGGATTTTCTCATGTTTCACGGGTGCATCACATTACATGTCATGTCGGTATTCAATTATCCCCTTGAGTATTGGATGATAACGTTAGGGTCAAAGGTTTTTTAGCTGGACATCAGACACCCAACATCCTCCCCTTGTTTGTTGTAATAGAAATGTAATACTCACAGGAAACCGAGTTAAAAATAAAAACAGGAATGTACTTAACTAGAATCAGATTACCAAAGGGGTTTACACACGATACTTATAATTTACATATCTATGAGAAACTTGAAAGAGTTTTTATTCTGTTATCTTAATTCGATAAGAAGAGTTCAAGCCGCGTTGATTGCGTTCGAATGTTTTTTTTTTGCTTGAAACTGATTAACTGGTCAAATGTGGATCTGCCAATTACAGTTTGTCCTTTGCCAGAGGCCATCAGAATTATAATTTTTATCATCAAGTCAAAATGAAGTAAGAAAAACCAGATGATCGTAATTCAGGATAATTTTTGGCAGCTACTTCTTGTTTCTCGACTAGACAGCTGTTTTATTTCCTTTTGCAATCGAAAAAGGTATATAATATATACTTGATTGCCCGACGAACCTATTATGTAACAGGTATCTGGGTTAAATTTTGTGTGCATTGATGCGAAGTTTATTCTTTTTTTTCTTGGGTCTCCCGTGACTAGGTTTCTCAACGCGATCCGAGAGGCGCCTTAACTGGGCTATAGTATAACAAAAAGAAATAAGTAAAAATATTGAAGAGTCATGGTTGATATGATGATTCTAGTATCTTATTTTATTTAAGGTGGGTGCAGATAAACACAAATATAGTATAGTATTGATAATTCAAATGGCCTATCACCTCATAAGATTCAATAACTTTGACTTTCATACATTTATCAGTTGTTGTGTAGTGAATACGTCTATCTGGCTACTGTGCTAAGGTTAGTACAATAACATTATTTTCGTACTATAGATATGTACCATCTACTTTATTAAAATATATATAATTTATACCACTATAATTATAGTTATAATTCAAACATTGTAAGAAGTCTCAGCCTTGTGTCAAATGCGCGGTTCAGAAATCAAAGTAATACATCTAAGGTAGCATTCGCTGAGTGCTAAGTGTTTTATTACTTGAGGAGAAATCTTGAAGTATTCAAATAATAGGTATTTCAACTGATAATAAGTTTAAAGGAGATTTTATAGGTAAACAATCAAACAATAGAACACCTTGAAACTCTCATTTGTGTTAAATACTTATCTCATTTAGGTACTTCTATATATATATAATTCAAAGGTGATTGACTGACTGACTGACTGACTGACTGACTGACATAGTGATCTATCAACGCACAGCCCAAACCGCTGGACAGATTGGGCTAAAATTTGGCATACAGATAGATGTTATGACGTAGGCATCCGCTAAGAAAGGATTTTGATAATTTCCACCCCCAAGGGGGTAAAAAA